ACGAATTAAGAACTCTCTCAAAAATTTCAATTTGTGTTGTTAGTTCAAAACGGAGTGCCAGACCTTTTGCACGATTTTATTTCATTTTTTTAATCTTGGCCAAACTCTAAATCTGGCTAACTCCGTTTGGCTTTGGCTTGGGTGGGCGGTGTAACCGATTTTTATATACACGATATATAGTCGTATATATATATATATATCGGTATAACAGTCAACTGTTAATTTCGCACATGCGGGACACACAAACTGCTTTTTCGTTTTTGGTTTATGCCTCCACTCTGGCTGGCTATAAAATTTATGACAGCCAAGTTAATTCAATTTCAGCCATGTGTCAATCAGCAGCTGCATTTAAGTGGAAAGTTATGTGCAGCCAATCGAAGTCTATGACATGATATTTTGACATGTTTTTATAACCCACATATAAAACATAAAAATATTTATAAACGAGAGTAGATGTACCACAATAGCCTTTGTGTTAGACTCCAAATTGTTTTTTAAATATTAAACTAGGAAATTAATTCGATCGTAGACTTTGACGCAAATGAATTTTATTTTTTCATAAGCTGACGGCAGCACAAAGGGCATTTGTGTTAACCTTTTCATATTTGCCATGTGAATTATTGGCTTCTGAGCCTGCTGCTGCTGTTGCTACTGCTACTGGCAAGTTGATATGTCAGTTCCTATATTGTCAATCGGAAGGCATTTAATTAAAGACGATGTCAATCCACAGCCGAGCAGTAAATTATCTGCCCCCCCTCCTGTCAGCCATAATTGAGCTCTATGTGTACCTGTTGAGGGGCCAACAATTTTCAATCTGGCAACAGTTTTTGGCCAACAGGCAACTGTCGACAGCCATCGAAAGCCATCTGACCCGCTTGTGTCAAAGGCTTCTCAGAATACCGGATTCCCTAGCTCCAATGCCAAAAAGGCCACTCGGTGCAACAGGCAAATCATGTTTCCACACTGTACCCTGCCCCATGTGGCACGAGGAACGTGCTCAGGTTCCTGATCTCGGACAGCTGAATGCCGGGCATTAAAAATTGATTGTGATGGAAATGACAAAAGCAACAGACATTTCCACATGGAGAAATAAAATTCACACATGAACTGCTTCAAGGAATTTAAACTAAAGGAATTTTGAGCCATAAAATTGGAAGTTTCTGAAGTGGAAAAGGAAATTATTTCATATTATTTTAATAGTTTAGTTTTTTTACTATTTAAAATGAAATTTGAAACCTATGATGAACTTTTTCTCTGTGCACTTGAATCCACATCCCACACACGCGACCACAAATGAAAGTGTATCAATTTTATTTGCCATTCGGAAATGCCAAAATGCGGCTGTTGGGCTCGATGAGGCGACATCAACATAACTCGTGGCAACAAAGAAAGCGAGCAATTTGGCAAAAGCCACAAGGAAACAAAAACCCTGAAACATTGCCCCCATCGATTTGCATTTTGTGGAGAGAAAGGTGGCTTGGTGGCGTTTGGATGACGAATGTGCGTGTGATTGGCATCGCATTTGCTCTGTTTGCCATTACCCATACGCAACGTGGTACCCAAAAAGACTACACAGAGTGAGGGAGCGGGTAAGTGAATGTGGCAGGGCGACCGGTAATTGGAAAATCATCCATTACAACCGGCTAATGGAAACTCGGTAAAATTGTCGCTAAATTCGATTAAGTGTGTAAGCATCGAGACTTTGATATCGATGAAATGCTGCCAGCCCATCTCCCCCATCTCCCCCGTGCTTCAACCTACTCTCCAACCCCCGTCCAAAATTCACATGTTTGTATCGCTGTTTTGGGTTTGACTGATTGCCTCGGTTGGCCTTTTTGCTTCCCAATCAGGTTGTTGTTGTTTTTTTTTTTTCTGACTACCGCCACAGCCAGTCCACGCATAATTATGTAACTCAATTTGGTGGTTGGGACCCGGGCCAAAAGGTCATTATTTATAAACACAATTTAATTAAAATTCATTCTGTGTCTTGAACCAGAAACAGGCACAGAAGCATAACGTTAGCATAGAAAACGCACAAAATTTAAGTGGCTTTTCCTGATTTAAGAAGGGAATAGATATTTCAGGAAGCTTTTGAATATTTGCTTTGGGCCTTCGTTAGTAAAACTTAAAGATATTTACTGATAAATCAGATTTGAATATTTACTTTTGCTTTTTCTAAATAAAATAAAATGTTCACCTTCAGTAACTGAAATAAATCTTTATTTGACTAAAAAGAAACCTTCTAAATGGAAAATTGCAATTTTCCTTTGAATAAAATTTTGCTTCAATAAATTTCCTATTCATCCTCATTTGCAATAATACAAAGTCGATCTCTTTCACTTTCCTTGAGAGAAAATAATATGAAAATGGACTTTGAAAACATAAAATAACTATTCGTATCAAATAAATTTCCCTTTCAGCGGTGGTAAAGTATCAATAAATCCTTAGGGTATAAAACCTCTTTGTAAAATGTCATTATATGCAGCTTGAAGGACAAATTGATATTTTCATTTTCAATAAAATATATATATATATATATATATGGAGAAAACCCGACCTGAGGTCGTGGCCCCTAGTGAAACGTCTGTTTGTTTGCATGGAAATTATATGAAAATTGCACTTGAAACTTTGTCTTGAGCTGCCTGCCACTTGCAGTTGAAAGTTTTTCCATATTGCTGCCGTCCTGCATCGTATTTTTTTCTGCTGCCTTCTTCTTCTTTTTCTTTTGATTTTATTGATTGCCCCGTCTAAAGTTACGGTGAAGTTTCAATTTTAAATGGAATCAAAGTCAAAGTATATAAATAAAATAAAATAAAATAAAATAAAATCAACTGCACAAATCCTCGCAGTCAAGTGCCGTAGAAAATCTCGCCATGGGGGGCACAAGGGGTTAAGTTTCTTTTATGCGGTGGACAAGAAGCCCTATATAGTGTGTATATATATATATATGGCGATTTCATTGTGTGCATTCCTCACTTGTCGGATATTCCGGGTCAACAAATAGCGAAAGGCTTTCCTTTGCTTGAAGAGAGTTCCTCGAATCTGTTGATGCCAGAAAATACCAGAGATGGCTATTAATTCTCAGAACTCATTACCTGCACAAGCTGAATCAGGGTTAAACCAATTTAATATTTAAAAAATTATACGTAAGCTGTTTATTTGCATTAAAGACTTTTCACCTTAAAGTTTATAGTAAATATCAAAGAAAAATCACCTTGAAGTTCGTTGAACCAAAACCAGTCAAAGTTTCTCCATGAAGATGGCTTGATTAATTGACGATGACCCAGCTAAAGGCTTAATGCCGAACTTCCGTGCGAGCTGGAGATATACTTATTATATCAATTAAGGTAAACAACAATGCTTTCTATTGTCCAGCCAGTTGAGCATTTGTGCCGTCTCATAGGGACCAACCACCGCCATCACTTTCCATCATCCGTTCAACATAATGTGCAATAATGAATGTCATGTAATGCCAGACGCGTTCGATTCGAATAACCAACAAAAAAAACTAAACTCAACAGCAGCTGCAACGAATGCAACATTAGCAACGACAAAAATTAACATTTTTCAAAACTTTTAAGTTGGACATGCGTTGACACTTTTGGGAAAATTGCGTACAATTTCAAATGCAGGCATGAAAACTTTACGCGTAATTACGGCACTGGGGAAAAGTACAAAAATAAATAACAAAAAAAAAAAAGAAAAAAAAAGGAAAAAAAAAATAAAACAAACCGCTGGCAAATCGCATTTGTTGCGCCGTTGACAGTTGTAAAATGGAAAGGTTATCCGGACCCTGGCCGGGCAAAAAGCATGGACAAGCAACAAATGCGTGGAGGAAAGTGCCTTTGGAAGCTGCAGCTGCTACTGGAGCTAACTCATGCCTCAAACTCATCCACCCAACCTCCTCTGGTCCTCTAAAGAGCTTCTGTCGCGGACAGTGACTGATGGTCTGGGAGCTTCACTGTTTTCTGCCTCCGATGATTACGATGACGATGATGAAGACGGCGATGACAGGGCAGCATTTAACCAGCACTCGGCAGTTAGATAACTATATATAAATTATGGAAGCCAGACGATACAAATGGTCAACAGATCGCTCTAGAACGTCGAGTTTAGAGCTTGGAAAAACTAGCTTAATCTAGCTTAAGTAACCATAAAAACTTGCTCAAGTTTGAGTATCAGTTAATGGAAAATCCAAACTAGAATACCTTTCTAAGAACTTTTTTCTTAAGTTTTTTTCTACATTAATTGGCTTTCATAAATCCAAAATAAATTTCATGATTTATTAATATAATTTCTTACCTTTTCGTCAAATTTCCCTTTAACTTAAAAATCTATTTAAAATGCAGAAAAAATATTATTTTTATTGAGTGCCACGCATCCAAGCTTAGAAACTCAATCGTTTAGCTCGGAATGGGGTTTCTCATACAAATTTGTATGTAAATTCATAGGTACATATAGCCAACCAATAGTCAGGGCAACGACGTCCCTCGACGTGGAAAGCACTTGAGCTTTACTTTGATGCACATATACCCATTAAGTTGGCTCCCCCATCGAGCGTGTGGCTCCCAATGTGGCCATGCGGAGAGATCTCTTGGCCTCATGGCCCAGAACCCACTCAAATATGCTAATCCACTGGAAGTCCACAAAACCTCCGGCGGCCCACATTCGAGTGCATGTTTCTGAGTTGCATAAACCTACAATGCCTTCCGAGAAACATGGGTAGAAAGTAATTTTAAATTACCCGAGTAGAGGGTTTTCAGTTACCAGAATGTGAGCGAGCTTATTGATACGAAAATAACATTCTTGGAAATGTGGCTGGTAATTAAACAGCAGGAGCATTGATTTGACATTTGAAACTATCTGAAAGGTTATTTTGGATTTTGATTTCATTATAATGCAGCTAACACTTTTAATCAAAAAACAAAAAAGGTACATAAAGGTTAGCTTAATCAGACTAGTTCTAGCTGAGTTAGTCAAAACATTTCGTTAGGTTAGTAATACCCAAAAAAGATTTCCAGTAAAGAAACTTCTATTTATAAATATTAGATTTACTTTCATTTGTTAACTTGAAGAAGGTTAGTAACCCTAAATCACCATGCATGGCCACCACACGGAAACAGATCGCGTCGTCCACGGCGTTTGGGATAATCCGGGTGTATCGATTTTTGCCACCGCCGCCCAGGAGCCCATACCCAACATGTTGACCCACATGAAGCCACTGCCAAATGGTGATAACTGTGACACTGACAAGGATGCATGCCGTATAGTTTCACAGTCTTCGGTGGCGGAGAACTCCCTCTTCCGGCTGGTCAAATTTCAGGTGGAAGAAGTGGCCGCCGAGCTTAATAATCACTTGAATCCTCGCCAGGGACAAGATCAATCCGATGTCGATATCACCATGGGTTTGGCTAAAGAATTGGCCCTCCAGCAGGTGGAGAAAAGTAGACTCATTCAAATCCATCGTAATGCGGCAAATTTAAGGGATCTCGAGATGGAGGTGGCTCATGCCCACACCGCGCTGGCTGTGAAGAACAAGATCCTCAGTAACATAAGAGAAAGGGTGCAGAATAGGCAACGGGAACGGGAAGAGGCTCTGGCAGAACAGCGGGCTATAGAGAAGGAGAAGCTGGAGGAGAAGAGGCTACAGGCGCAGAAGAAAGCCGCCTTCCGTAGTGATATTATGACCCAGATCATGGAGAAACGAAACAAGCAGCAAAAAGAACACCAGGAAGCCGTCGAAATGGGACGTCTTGAGCTGAAGGAATGCAAAGAGAAGGCTGAACAGGAGGTCCTAAATAATGCAATTACAAAGGAGAAACAGCGAAGGGTGCTCTTGGAGTCCCTGGATCAATCGGCAGCCATGCTAAGGCAAACCCGCGAAGCCAACTCTCTGGCCCAGAAGAATAAACCCGAAAGAGGAATCCTGGATGCATTAGGACCAGTAACGGCGACCTATGTTTCGAAGGAGAGGAAGAGACACTTTGATATGATCGAGGCCAGGGACATAAATGCTGCTCGTCTAGGCTTCCAGCTCAGTCAGATCAGGCGAGATCTGCAGTCGCGCGAAGAACTTATCACAAGTCTCCTGATCCGCGAGCATAAAGCCAAAGAGAATGCATTGGCTTTGGAACAGGCCAGGACCAAGATGGCCAAGAAGCAGGAGATTCGGGAACAATTACTCAGCCAACGCGAGGAGCAGAAGTTCTTCAGGGATAAAGCTGTGCAGGATGCTCTGATCAAGCCCAATGATCCCATGTGCTTTGGCGAACGGCAATATCGAATGCAGGTGGCCCAGCAAGAGAACACACGACGTATTGATGTCCAGTGTTATAAGGACATGGACGATATGGTTGTGGAGAACAAGAAGCGCAGAATTGCCGCTGCTCAGGAGGTTGAGGACATTCTCCAGGAGCTGCGTAATGTTCAGCAACGGCAGGATGAGTTTGTGGCCTCGGAGCGAATGAAGCTGCTATCCCAGCAGCCTAATGAAGTTCTCTTGGCGCTTAAGAAGTCCATGTTAACCAAGGAGGAGATCAATACTTTTAACTTAAAGAAGTGAACATTTTTACCCTGTTTAGTTCAGGGTTTTTTTTTTAATAATATTAAAAATTTGTTTAATTACATTCTAAATTATCTTGGCTGGTAGAAAATATATAGGAAATGCTTTCCTTTTAAGTTTCTCTTTAAACAAACTTTTTAATACTGCATTCAAGTCACTAAAAAATATCTTAAATCATTGAACTTCCCTCTTAAGGTGCACTTTTTTTTCAAGTGTACTATTAATACTCCACATGTAGGACAACCCACTGGCCAGGATGTGCTTAATTTTTCCAATTTTCCTACCATGTACTTTTAAATGGACTTTGCCTTGGCTGCGATGGCATGGTAAATGGTAAATTCACTTTCTTACCCATTCTTTGGCCAGGCTTTTGCATCAGGTCAGGTTTCGTAGCAACCGAACAGCCGACAACCGGTTTACCGACATTGCAGCTGGAAAATTTGTTTACAATAATACGGTTCGAACGCAGATGGAGCGTAAGTGCACTTTTGTATTGGGGGCTTACGTAGAGGGGAGGCGTGCGTGGAAGTTTTACTTTCCATTTCTGGACTCATCATTAGCCGGCTACCGGAGGCTGGTTTGAATTTCATAACGGCAGAAGGCTCAAGAATGTTGCCAAAGTCAGTTTTCCTCTTTTTTTTGTTTTTGGCAACTATTTTTGGTACACGCTCTTGACGGCCTGATGAAAACTTTCTCTGAAAATAACTTTGGCTTCAAGATACAGCTTAAGCATAAAAAAACCTTTTACCTTTAAATACACGGGGGAAAATAAAAAGGAAGTGGAAGGTAAAAGTAGAAAAAATACATTCTGATATTGCCTTTTGAGAATTTTATAGTTTTCATAAATATTTTAGTTTATGAATTCCTCTTAATGAAAAACCCTCTTGGGAGTACAAGCTTGTGGTTGAATTTTCCTTTCCTAGGCATATATAAATGGCGTATAATAACCTCTACAACATTTCTCTCAGTGCAGTTTTACAGAAGCAACCAGCACACAACCACAACTCAGTTTCTGTTTCAAGTTAAGTCTGTGCCGCTGGTGTGAGGTTGTTTTGTCTTTTCGACTCTGGTCATAGGAGGTTTCCGTTGGATGCTGACAAACTTTTTTATGCCAAAAACTTTTTTCGGGGCCAGATCTTCAACTTGGCCAAGCTGTGAAGTTTTCTGTGTATGTATGCATGAGCATGTCTGCACCTTTTCCACCTGGAAGAGCGTTACTCTCTGGATCTAATAAGAGTCGTCGTGTGGCTGCAAATGTGTTTGCATTGCAATGAAATTGGAAACGAGATCTGCAAAAGTTGAGTAATTGAGCTGATTCTGCTTCGTTGGTCACTCGAACGGAAGAACCTTTTCTCCGCCGGATTCGTGCCACAACAATCATTGGGGGCCCCCTAGTTTCAGGGCAGCATAGAATGGGAAACATTGAGAGAAAATCTCTTAAATAGTTCATTACTAAGTAATAATTAGTTGGTAATGAGTAAATATTAAGACAAGTTGTAGGAAACCTTAAATCCTTCTGTTTATATGCAGATTAAATTTTCAACAATTTTTAAAAGCCGCCTAAAATATTTGTATATATCTTGAAGGTTAAAAAACAATAAATACTTTTTACTATATCTACAATATATTTTTTATTAGCACTTTTATGATTTTTTTTTCCTCTCTGCATTGGCAGACCAAAAAAGGGAACAATGAAAGACAGGCTCAGAGACATTGAATGCCAGCCAGAGAGAACAAAGCAATAAAAGGCCCGAGAAGTGGGTTGTTGTTAGCTGTTTGCTAGCCATGCTGGGAATGGAAAATGGAAATGCTAAGGAAAATGAAGGAAATGCAACGTCGTTAACATGGGCCCGTAGGTTGGTTAAAGAAGGCTGCGGCGATAGCGGGTGGTGTTTTGTGGAAATCAGACAGGTTGGCAGGCAGCAGCCAGTGCTACGCATATGCTTGACACGGAAAATGCAGTGGCATTGCATACTAATGCCATGCCGAAAGACAAAAACGGAGGAAATAGATGCTCATAAAAATTACTTTGGTGGCTTTAAAATGCCATCATACCAAGCCAATTCAATGAGCGGTCTCTCTCACTTGGAAAAGCCCACGCAAAATGCAGCCCACATTGGTTATTGGTTCGAAGTGGTAGCTGGCAGTTATCTTGAGATTATCATGTGGGCGAGCAGTGAAAATTGCGTGCAATTATCCAAAGATGATATCAGCATTGACTGCCTTATATATCTATATATATAGCCCTTGGCTATCGATTTGTTTGTATTTCAACGCTGCGATTCGAACTGGTTTCGAGCCAATCGGCTACTGCTATAAATAAACAATTATTTTTAATGCAAAGCCAGCGAATGCGACCGCCGCAAACACTGCCCATGGAATGTCGTTAATAAACAATAATAACTTAAACAAATTTATTGTAATATAGCAGACTGCCCTAGGGATTAACACAATTAATTTACAACAAAGAGGTTAATTGAGGTAAATAGTTGCATTAAAACCATATTTGTATTGAAAATTGAAAGTCATTTATAGATTAACTTGAAATAAGAAGATTTAAAAGAGATATTTCTTTTATTTAAATTATCATTTTTAGTTCATTTAACTAACCCTTAAAGTTTATTAAATTCTGAACTTCTACCTTTAGATAGCCAATGTATCCATTGGATTGGCAAATCAATAATTAAATGGTTAAGTGCAGCTTATGGTTATTCATCTGTGGCTTGCTGCCCCCTCCAGGCCACAGATACACTCACGTACAGCAGATAGAGACAATTCAATTTTAGCCAGCTTATGGCTATTGTTATGGCCATTATATCTGGCTTACATTTCAACCGTTGACCGTTGGCGTTGGCGAAACAAAATGAAATAAGTCGCTCCACACACTTGACTTGACTTCTCGGTTTGGCATTCAATAAGAATTTCAATCGCCACGGCGACATATTGCAGTCACTTCAAGGCAGCTGATGCCATGAAAATTGTACAAAAACAAAACCGCAATAATAACTGGAACTGCGAAAAACAAAATAACAACTCATACTCTGGTCCACTTTTGGGCCCAAAATTTAATAAAAATAAAGAGAGGAAATTCCAAAGGAGGCTGGTCAGTTTCTTTTTCTGTTTCTATTAACCGATTCGATTTCAAAGATTCTGACTCATTTTTAATCAAAGTTCAATGGAACATTAAAAGTTTTCAATTGCATTTCCGTTGACCGCCTTCTGATTCATCGATATGGGAATGACTCTAGATGCAGGCACGTACAGTCGTGGCAAACAAAGAATGTCATTGTTAGGCCAAGAACTATTTTTAAAAATAAATTTTATTTATTTTCTAAATGAAAAATCATGGAAAAATATTAAAATTTGTTTTTTTATCATTTTTTCTTTTCTGAATAAATACTAAAAAATGCATAAAATCAAAGACCAACTTATGCAATGTAAAGTTTATTGATCTAGTTAATACCTTTTTATCAAAGGCCTCTTATCTAATGTTGTCTTAGCTGCAGCTCTATATCTATGACTGTTTATATAAGCCCCATTCTGTCGCTTGTTTACAGATTTTTTCCGTCACATTCACAAAAATGTTTCACAGCCATTTTGGCCATTGAATTTGTCAGGCTCAAAGCAAGCGAAAACAAAACAAAGTCGCCGGCAACCATTGACAGACTTGTTTTGGCCAGATTTTTGTTTCAGCTTTTGTTGTTTTTTTTTTGTGTTTATTATGTGACTGTCGGTTGGCTCAATTGCGCTGCTTAATGTGATTTGACCAATTTGGGTTCTGTGTGACCAAAGGCAGAGCGTTAATTTGCCTATAATTATTGTGGCATGTCTATGAGATAATTGCACTATCGAATCTCACAGATTATAATGTACAAATCGTGGCTAATTTTGTTTTGAATTAGAAAAGAATTGAAATTGAGTAGCTAGTCAAGGCCTTGCCTTTCAACACCCTTACTTTCATTTTTTTATCTTTTGGGAACCATCATCACTTAAGTTCTCTCTTGATGACCCTCGTTAAAACACAGTTAACCCGATTTGCATTCGCTTGATTACAGTTTTCGCGACCAGTTTATTCTGATGTGGGTTTATCACTGGCCAGGCATCTAACTGGCCAAAAGCCCAACCCAAGCTCAAGCTCAAGTCCAGAAATGTCTCACATAAAGCCAACTTACACTGTTGTGGCAGCTGTTTTTCGTTTCAATAAAAATGCAAATACATCAGAGCGACAGCGAAAGAAAGAAAAATATCGTTATTAAACTCAATAACTGTCACCATTTCTTTTTCTTATTTTTTGCATAAATTATAATAAGTTTTTTGCGGCCGGAAAAATCTTCAACACATTTTCAGAAAGATATTTCATGTTTGCAACGGAAATAGAAAAACACCGACAGGCAAACAAGATGGAAAATTAAGGAAGCTGGCGAAATGATAATGATAAATGTTCGGCTGCCTCTGATGAAAGAAGGCGTGGTCGGTCTGAAATGAATATTTATGAATGATTAATGAGAGGAAGGCCATGGCATGGCATGGCATGGCATGGCCTGGGCCCCAAGTCAGAGTTGAAACAGAAAATCTCCAATTACCTTGTGGCTGAGTTCACAAACTCCAACACAAAATGGTCAATGCACCCTCAGCTTATCTCTCCCGGAAAACTGTCAAATTGTGGAAAACTCAATCCCCTGACATACAAATGACATAATGACCAAATATTTGGATCTTGGGCACAGCAAGTGTGCTTTTGTTTTTACGGCACATCTGATAAGCCCTCGCAACTTAGCTCATTCCAGTCTTATCGCTCAGAATAAAGACAAAAGCTTACACATACTCGTGTCTTTCCAAAAATAAAACTAGCATATAAAAGAGCCATTAACGTACGTAAAAATCAGTGTCAAGTCGAAAGTCAAGAATTTTTCCAAAATTTATAATGGCCATGCAGCAAAGTGCTAATTAAACTCATCTGGCTGCTGACAGACACAGAGAGATGTGAGATACATCTTATTTCCAAAAAGAGAGAAAGAGAGAACTTTTCCACACAGGTGACACACAGGTTCTTGGTAAACGTGTCTGCTGAAAACTGTCAGCAAATGTGATTTGAGTCGG